AACTTGCAAGTAGAGTTTTTGTGCCATGTACTGGTAGTGACGAATAAACTGATCGTACCTCATAATTTCGAGAAGGGTTACGTGCAAAATTCTATGCGATCGATTTTGGCGTGAAGTCTTGTCTCTCATTGTACTACCTAGGTAGCATAGGTGCGTTCAATATCTATTCACGTACCACTCTGAAACTTTCATTGATGAGTACCTTGGAACGCAGACGGCAATATTCAGTAGTCAACTGGTGCAGAATGCTAATCCACTGTTTCTCTGTTCTTCTTATCTGTAAATAATTATTTTCTAGACTCTTTGCATATCTGCGCAGCACATTGCACTAGTAGAAATTTTCGAAGTCGGATCAAGACTAATTTGTTTTTGAATATGGTGGCATGGTGGCTATATTTCTAGAAATATTGACGATCTTCAGAAAGAGATCGACCTGCTGAATGCAGAGAGCAACAACCTAGACATGAAGTTAAACATGCGAAAAAGGCAATTTCATGCTCTTCTACTGGCTGTCAAAGGTATCAGGACAACATTGAACGACGAAGCCGCCTCGACCGTTGACGATCGTAAGTGTTTATCTTTCGCGTTCGCTTTGCTTCTTTATGTTGCTTACTTTTGATATTTTTCCCGCTCACATCAAGAATCCTTGGGGAAAAGTACGTCGTAAGTGGAATTTTTTTTAGGCAAATCCGCTATGCGAATGTTCCTTCATGACGGAAAGTGCTTTCAGTTAACACATTACATCGGTCCAGTATGTCATGGTGTTTCTAAAATACAGCTCAACTCTTTATGTAGACGCAAACGGCGCACATAGATACAGTTTAAATGAATGTCTAGAATTCGTAAGATGAGACTAGTTTGCTCCCTCCTTTAACGAGAAACTGGTAACTAATGACTTTACGAAGCATACTAGCCAGATTCCCAGTAGCGCGTCAGAGTACAGTATATGGTGTAAGATCGTACAGTAGTTACCGGTGATTGAGAATACGAGAAGTACTGCCGGGGACGGGATGGGATGATAGATAGATAATCTTGTAAGTAATATGAAAATGATTTACAAGCATTCCATTCGGAGGACCTTAACAGTCGGAAGACAGTATTTCGCTAGTATCTTGATGCATGCTCGTTAAATATCCTATAAGTTCTACTAGGCTTTGTCACAATCTCAGAGTCGAGACCCAAGTTTCTTGGCGGATAGGTTGTTACGTGACATGGTAAAAAGTATTATTTTACCTTGTATGATTGCTATGGACCCACTATGGAACTGAGTGGCAAAAAGATGCATAAACCCTCTAGCGCAATATCGTCTGGATTTTTTAAGTAAATATCAGGCGTGGTATCACCGATGACAATGGGGCTTAGTCAAGTATTAACTTGTATTTCATGGCCGGTATTTTGTCAGCATTGGCAGATATTTTATGTTCTTGTCTATTCGCTTGAGTTTTTCAATCAGAAATAACTGAGGGAAACCAAATCCACACACTGGCGATCGTGTGTCTATGACACAATATGCATTATTTTAGGGTGGAAGGCATATATGCAAAGAGCTTCTGCAGCTTCAGTGCATTAATTGGGTAAATCAATTTCATTTGCGCAGCTATGCTGACTTGAGATTTGCTTGGATGTCCTGGAATGGAATGGAATCAGGAGTCTCGAAATTGGACCTGTCGCGCACCTCTGCTTTTCTATGAAATATGCAGCTGTCCTTTACAAATCGGCAGCGCGACGCTTCAACAGATATGTAATCTGAGAGCGCAACACTTGTCTTTCATGTCGGCAGCAACCACGACGCGGATGGTCGGAATCATTTGGGTAGGAATTTCTAAAATAATGGAGGAAAGCCATCATCTGATCAAACTTAAACAAGAATTAGTCCAATTGAATCATCTGTCATGGAGATGCCCTGACACGTACTGTCTTTTCGACAGTACAGCAAACCTTCGTAAATAAAGTAAATCTCACGTTTGCTTTTTGAAACATGGTTCCGTGTAAAAGAGTAATTGTAAACAATTCCGTTTGTAGCGTCTGCGTTGCAAATACTGTCATGATCACTCATGCGGACGATATACTGACAAATGTAAACTTGTAAGGCAAATTACCTAAATGAAGGCTATGTGGAAAATTTGACGCAAGAGCAATATACAGACATCTCAATATATTTTAATCACTTAGAATTAATCACCCCTATCACCACTGGCTTCCTCTTCACCATAACTGGCCGGTATTTCCTCATCAACTTCGGCTGCGTCGTCTTCAAGCTCAGGGGTATCCACATTGATATTAAAATTACGTCGTGAACCACTAGTGTAGCTTGAGCCAATATCCACTCCCGTCCCGACTCTGCTGGCATCAGCCTCACTTTGCTTCCGCCCATCTGGAAAATAAGGCGACTTGTACTCAGTATCTTCTTCGTTGGCAGCAGCCAATGCTGCCACACCCGATCGACCTTGACCAATAGATGAAGCTCTACGTCTAAACATACCCACCAACGTACTACTTTTACTCCTTTGCTTGACTGGAGCTGGTCGTCCTGAATGAGTTCTCGGTAGGCTACCAGTAGATCCACTGTTCATACCATCCGGTAGTGATCTCCCCAACCCACTCAATTCCATTAAGCCCATCACTACGCTGGGCCGTCGTTGCTTTCCGGTATCTGCTAGAGTGCTCGACGTACTAGGACGCCTATCACTTGTTGGTGAAAAAGCCGTACTTGGACGCCGCGAAGTAGGACGGGAAGTAGGACGAGAAGCAGTACGCGATGAAGTGGCTGAACGTTGACAATATTCTTCTATATTCAGCTCTTCATAAGTGGGCATATCATGAAGTCCCGTGCTGCCTCCAGTGGCCATTGAACCCATTGACCGAGCAGGTGATACCGCAGACTTGCTGAAAGACTCCTTATCTTGTTCGACTGATTGGTCTATCGATAATAACTCGCTCCCATCGTCGACTTCTAACATTGGCTGCTCAAATTCTACTACGCCGTCGATGTGCTTCGGGTTCCCCAAATCGGTGCTGCCTCTGCGCAAATTTTGATAGGCGGGTACGGACATACGTCTGTGCGACGCATATATAGGAGGTTCTTCTGTTTCAGGAAATACCATCCGCTCGTGAATGTCTTCGATACCGCACGCTTCTGCTTCGTCACGCGTATTCTGCTGGTGATACGGTAATTTCAATATGATATCTGGTGCCCCTACCAGGACAAACCTTAGCAAAACCTCGTACTTCAGCCATACCGTGCTTCTTTCACCGTCGTGGACTGCAGATGGTGCAATCAAAATGGAGGTCACACGTCCCTGGGCATTTTTAACTCGTTGGACACCGGCTTTAGCTACATTTTGTGGTTTTAACGAAAACTTTTTCTCTGCCGTCACGCCATCGGCGTTCGTGACCGTATCCGCAAGCCAAGCCTTTGGCTCCATAACAGTATTCTCTAAAGCAATTTCTTTGTTCATGATTACTATTGCTTTTTTCCGAGCGTACAAATTCTGCATTATACTCCCCTTAATTTTCTTGATAGGTAATGCTTTGCCAGATGTTGTGTCATAGTGCATACTCACGATGACGTCAACCGCATCCCCTATAGATATGACATCGTTAGCCAGCGAAGCCTCGATACGCAATGTCTTGCCCGTAAAATACATAAACCTTTCTGCCTGTGACGTAGGACGATACCCCGGAAGACTATAATATAGCGAAGCCTTGCGAAACTTAAATTTGCCAAGTGTGACCAGCGGAGTCGAAGAGCCTTGATGCACCAACCTGATCTCCCATAGCACATCACCCCAACGCGACTCAAAAGACGGAGGCACATTCTCGGGTGTAATGAAAGAGAATGGTATCTTCGTGACTCCTATGGGAACGAACAACGAACCTGCCACCGCATACTTAGTGCAGTGTAAAGTGCAGACTTTCTCGCGTGGTGGTAGATTAGGATTCTTGGCCGCGTATCGACACAATAATAACGCCATGGTATTAGGGAAAACCCTATCACTATCTGACTGAATATTAATCACGCCCGATATCTCATCGTTATCGAAATAGACATTCCTATTCGTCTTGATTGTGACCACAGGCTTTGAGGATGCCCTTGCAGTTTTGAGCGGATCTTGTGCAAAAAAAGCGACTGTGCCATCAGAGTTATGTCTTAGAAAGGGGGTAACGATGTTTTCAAGTGGGACCTGTACGCCTACTTCGCCACTTGGTGCCACAGGTGAGATACTGTTCTCCTCTGTGATCTGATTATCACTAGCCTGACAGTTCGCTGCCAATACACTACTTCTTTCTGACGCCTCGAACTCGTCACTGTGAGGCGAAGCGACGCTGCTAGAGCCCCTTCCTTGGCTGTGAGTCGCCATCAGAGACACTCACTTATAAATGACTCAACTGAAATGCGAAACTGGACAATATGAAGCCTCAGCAGTGTCTTGCATACCACCTGTAAGGCTGTAACCTGCTTTCAGTGTGAATCGGAGGTCTGTAGGATAGTTTTGCACCAAACATAAAATGATACAGGATTTTAAAAACATGAAAATGGAATGGGGGTTTTTGAAGTTCAATTTTTTTTTTCTTCAATACATATCAGAAATTTTTTCTTCAGTATACATCAGAAAATATGGTATTAAAGTATTAAATATATATCTATATTGAGAGTGGGTGTATCTGTGTGACTGACTCTCTGAGTATGTGTGTTACTGACTGCAGTGGGGTGTCTTAGGTCTCTTGGACTGGGGGATTCGATTCTAATTCACTATTTATATCGGGTTTTGAATATAATCCCAAATAGTTTTTCTAGACTTTTTCTAGAAAAATTTCAAAATAGTTTTGCGAAGGCAGGCGCCAAGTTGATAAATATTGATATTTAGCTCCACTGGTTCATACAGTTATTTATTTATGAACAGGGTTGTGCACTTTTCGACCATGTCAAATCTTGGATTTCCAGGTCACGTATTAGCAGTTTGAACCTTCTAAGGGTTCTAATATATAGTTAATATAAAAGTACATATTATCAGTTCAGAACTCATTATTGTGGTAGAGAGGGTTTCTTACACTTACTCAAAATCACCATTTACGTGCATGAGTGTCCTTCTATGACGACTATATAGTGTGCGTATTCAATTATATAGCTTCGTTATCATTTTTAGACCTTCATTATACTTATATAAGCATAATTAAGCCATAATGATGTTATTAGTCGTTTGTGGGTGAATATATATTGCTCAAAGAAATGCGATTCATCGTGCAAACAATGACATAGCACATCCCATGGCATAAACACACCTTTTCTCGATAACCGCAATATGAATACACGCTATTATTTGGACAATTTTTGTAAGTGACAACTTTAAAACTTCACTAATTAGGCAAATTTAGACGCATTTATCGCGTTTTGGACGATTCCGATGCAGTGTTAAATAGACTCTTAAAAGCATAGGTGCTCTGCTTGTACTAAACGACCTTTGACGCCTTCGCAGGAAATACTTAATTTTGAAATGTGCCAAAACATATTGGGATTGAAAATAGAAATCCGGATTTAGTAAATCTGGAACTCTTCTTTATTTTCGGCCCTATTTAACCCCCGTACATACATGGATGGGGTGATAATAATAATAAAACAATTGAGCCTTTTTTTCTTCTTCCAAATATTCTGCCACTCTTAATGTATATATTAGTATTTCTATTTATAGACCTTTTTTGGAAACGAAGTTTGTTTTGGGTCTTGGGTCTTGGGACAATCCGACAACCACAACAACAAGAGCGAGAGAGTCGAGACTCGAGAAAGAGAGAGAAGTGCTCAACAGAAGAAGAGTGATGAAGTAAAGACTGAGAAATATGAAAACAAGCGCCATTTTGAATTTTAAAGCCTTCTTCTAAAAATCATTGCCTTCGTCTAAAAAAACTATTCTAAACATGGTGCAGTTGCCAGATAGTCGCACAAATGGTTAATCTTAAAACAAATGCGAATTACACAAAAAAAAGGGATTTCCACGGTGGGATTAATAGGCTGAAGGAGAGGAAGCCAAAACTGCATAAAACAATTCGTCCGTTTTTGAAGTGGCCAAAGTATGGACTTGGGGCGGCCAATATATGATATATGGACCTGGGGCGGCCAATATGTGGACCTGGGGCGCCAATATATGATATATGGACCTGGGGCGGCCAATATGTGGACCTGGGGTGGCCAATATATGGACCTGGAGTGGCCAACATTGACACTGCCCATGCCCACATATCTCAGAATTGAATAATGAATATGTCTTTTGATAGTTGAAGACTATCAAATAGAAAAGGGAACATAATACAATGCGAGATCTGTACGTATAGAATGGATTATGTTTAAATTAAAGCTGTCCCCGGGGTATAGTAAATAGTAAAACAGTACTTATACTTCTAATGGCTCATTTATTATTAGCCATCTCGGAGGTGACTATTTCATATACTTTCTCAGGTACACGTCGATGAGAAGTATATTTCTTTTTCGCAAACTCTGTAAGTTCCAGAGTAAGACCCTTATCATAGCAATCGAGGTAACGGTAGGCACCCCTAACAAGGCGTCTAATTGTATCCAGTTTAACATTGTTCATAGCTTCGATGACATGTTTTTGAAGGCCTGTCCACATATCATCGCATTTTTTTTCGCACCTCAAATTGGCTCGGCCCCAATATCGCTCGATAGGGTTGCACTCCCAATGGTACTTTGGGAGAAAAACGCAAATGTAATATCAATACTACTGGGCTGCACTGAACTTAATATCAATACTACTATGAATGCTGCACTGAACTCAAGGATAACGTTAATGTGCGTGTCACACACACAAATATTCTTTTCGACCTGAAGAAATATTAATATCAATATTTGGGTCATTATTTCGCGCTCCATGGGTTTTAGGGTTTCGAGGTAGTAGGGGTCATTTCATTTGGCCGACTGTCTTTGACTGTCTTTTAAAGGCAACTGCACCATAGACGGAGAGAGAGAGAGAGAGAGAGAGAGAGAGAGAGAGAGAGAGAGAGAGAGAGAGAGAAGAG